TTTTCCATGATCATACAAGTAAAAAGCTCATTATTGTTCGATCAGATGCAGTGCCGGCCCTAGGGGTAGGGCACGAGGTGCGACGGCCGAGGGCCCAAGCGGCGGAGGGGCCCAAGCCCAGGTATACAAACCCTCAGGTCCTATAATCTATTAGGCATTAGCAAACTAATGAGAAGAGAGACATATAACTGTTCAGGCGACCCAAAAAGACAACATCGACATTTCTTTCCTAGTTTCCTTTCCCCATGACTCTCAGGTAGAGAGGAGGCAAGGAGTCACGCTGCACACATCACACTCTGATCGTGAGCTCACGACGTGCACCTTACACACGTGGAGCTGGCGAGCCGCGCCGCCGCGAAGAGCTAGACTACCAGAGACACGGACAAGGCGCACGAGGAGGGCAACCAGTCAGGGCTCCACGATGATGACATCTTGATTCTTGGCTTCTTATGAATTGCGATCACCGATCAGTTGTTTAGGCCCAAAGTATTTTTTTCTTTTTATTTTTAATCCAAATTAATTATTTGTATAATATTCCAGACTTCTAATACTTTATACCCATGTAGTCATATTTTTCTTCTAATTTAGGTGTTAGAATTTTAGAATGTTACCTAAGAAACATTTGTCATGGGTGAGAAAAGAAAACGAATATATTGCTTTTTTTAATCTATATTGTTTCTCGATAATTATCATACATTTATAAATATATTGCTTAATCTAGACTGTTCCTTGATAATTATCAGACATATTAAATTAAAAATATGTTATTGAATTTGCTTTCGTTTTGCAAGTAAAATTAGCACCTATATATTATAAGATTTTATACATGATTAAGAGGGGCCGTCGCGATGAGATCGCCAGAGGGCCCTTAAAATCCTTGGACCGGTACTGATCAGATGCTACGCTCACTCTGAGCTTTGAGCTCGATGCAGATGGTACGTGATGGGGAGATGAAGAGCGGGGCAGCTGCTGATCTCTATTTATACAAGGAGAGCAGCATGCAACCATGCATGCATGTCGTAGCAGTTGGAGAATGGCCTGTGTGTTGTGTGCACCATCCTGGCACCGAAAAATGTACACTAGAATGGCACCGAAAAATGTACACCAGAATGGCAGAATCCTTGCATCAACTTGTAGTGTCTATGATTAAAAAAAAACCTGTAGTGTCTAACAACTATCACTGTATCACTATCACGCGCATGCATGAACCGTGTTATTGGACTTACCCAATTTAAACATAGTATATATCTAAGCGCATAACAAAAGATATGTATATATCTAGATTAGAAAAGCCAAAACGTCTTATAATTTGAAATAGAATGAGTAGAATATATTAACACAGCTGCCTTGCAAATCTTCATGAGGACCGATCACTACACCAGCCAGCCTTTTTAGGAGCGACTCAAGATGCTACGTAAAGGGCAGTTGGGCGAGCCGCCCCTACAAAGCAATGATTTTTAGAGAAAGTTAGCTAGCCGTCTTTATAAATTGATTTATAGGGGTGGCTCTGTTTTATAGACCTGGACAAAAATAACACTTTTTTTTAAATACCGAAAGTCACAAGTCACGTGATTTTTTGTGTGAAAAATGCAAGCTTCGTGGCCGACCGGGATCGAACCCGCGATCTCCTACATCGTGTGCTACTCCGCTAACCACTCCACCCCCACACTCGTGCCAATAACATATATTCTTTCTCCTCATATTATACTCAATCGAATTTAATATGAGTGTTTAGGACTCTAAATGAATTCAAATGAAAATGTCCTCAACTATAAAGTTGTATAACTTTTAGGGATCTACAACTTTGGTTTTGGTCGTTTTTCCATCCAAAATTTAAATGTAGCAAATTTAGACGTAATTATCATTATTTTAAATTGAAAAGTTGTCAACTACAAAGTTGTTTAACTTTTCAAGATCTACAACGTTCATTTTTACTGTTTCTCCATCCAAGGCCGTTTTAAAAATTCAAATTTTAAATTTAGAAAATTCAAAAGTAGTTTTCCTTAGCTAAATGATTTCAAATGGGTTGTCAACTACAAAGTTGTATAACTTTTTGAGATCTACAACTTTTGTTTTGATTGTTTCTCCATCTGAGATCATTTGAAAAATTCAAATTTCAAATGTGAGCAATTCAAACGTATTTTTTCTTGACAAGATGCTTTCAAATGAAAAAGTTGTTAATTACAAAGTTGTATAACATATTGGGATCTACAACTTATGTTATGGTCATTTCTCCATCAAGGATGTTTGAAAAATTCAAATTTTAATACTTAATTTTTATTATTTGACGCCCATTTGTAGGGACGGCTGAAAATACCAGCATTTGTACTAAAAAAGGAGGCGTTGCTATAAATTCTTTTTTAGTAGTGGATGAAATGTGTTGATGAACTAGCATGATGTAGACAATTTGAACCTTGGATTGCAAGCTTGCAATGCATGCATGGTGGATGGTGTGCAAGCTGGAAGAACCAGTAAGACCGACTGGAGCCGACAGGAATTGATAATACATCACTACTGGAATCTCGCTTTTTTCTGTGTGTGCGAAAACACACAGAAAAATGCGATTTTTCTCACGGTGTACCTTCAGAAAAATACTCACAGAAATATAATGACAGAAAAATCAAGTTCAACGTCAGAAACAATTTTTCTGTGGGTCTCACATGCACAGAAAAATTGTTTTCACCCAAATTAAAACTAATTTTTCTGTGTGTTAATCCACACAAAAAAAATAAATAAACATACAGAAAAATACATGTTTTTTTTCTGTCGATCTAGGTGAACTCATAGAAAAATTCATTTCGCCCAGATTAAAAATAATATTTCTGTGTAGCCAGCCTCACAGAAAAAAAGAGTTAAACGCACAAAAAAATTATTTTAAAACAGTAGCAATAGCATATTAAAAAAATATATTTTTCATACAGTAATTTCTGTGCATGACCAACAAGGTATCATTTAAATAATACACAAATACAGTACTCGAAGGGACCTGCTATCAGATAAAAGAAATGAAGCATTATTGATGGACCCGCTAGCAAATGAAAGAATCAAAGAATTAACTGCTGCTGTGAAAGAAACTGTCAATCAGCACTCCATCACCATCTGTTAATCAAGAATGGAGGTGCTGGGCTTGAAGTTGAACAAGGATTTTGGTGGGGTGATGGTTGGGGTCTGAAGATGAAGCATATCTGTAGATTTACTCATCTGAGCCGCCAGTATTCCTTTTGACTTGCTACCAGTAACAAAGTAGTCCGTTACACCATCTGTTAAAATGAACGAGTTAGCTCATGGTACTGCACATGATAAAATTCTATGAAACCAATTGCACAAGTATATTACATTGTTAATATAGAATGGCATCAGGTTTCTAATGCATCACAAAATGTGTCTAGTTAGAAGAACCACATACAGAGACAGCTAGTGAGCAGCGGCTTTTACTTTCAACGATATGTATATTTTGCTTCACAAATAACGTATTAAACTGTTGATATAACTAGAGGTCTAGTGGTTAACCACTCAGGAAAAAGAGCCTAGTGTATCTGGGAGGATCCCACAATGCGCTTAGCATAAAAGACGGCAACAATGTTGAAAGAATTCATTACTTTTGGCAACAATGTTGACATACAATAGCGTTAAACATCATAACCTAAGATAAGAAATGTATCAGCAATAGTGTCATAGAAGGATAGTAACTGAACAAACAAATGACATCTGATTAAATGAATGCAACTGACAGAGCACACTTGTAGAAGGAAATATATAAAGAAATGTGACTGCAGTCCCATAAAAAATGCTCATGAAATCATTGCTAGTAACTTAACATCTAACTGACATAACTGCTCAAGAACCTTTGCCTAACCAGTTAACAAAAATGTAAAGTTCGTACATTATCGTGCTCGTGCTATAATAGAAATACCAAAACGAGCAGCACTGCATTTAGACAACTCAAGCTTGTAATAAGACATGCTAGAATGTAAAGGAGGAAGAGAGATCTCACATTTAAAGAGCTGTAGCATGGTCTTCGTCGCATCAGAAGGGGAGGCTCTCAAGGTCAGGGGAGGCAGCGAGGAAGGAGAAAGAAACTGCTTCACCTTCCACTCCATCTCTACCTGTTAAGCAAACACATATTTTTAGTCAACAAAAAAAACACTAGTATTGTAAGAAGTTTGCCTTTTTATTGAGCATAGTGGGGACTGCTCAGTACCTTTCATCTCAGGTCACAAGCCAATTTGATTTGCACCGAATGCCATCTACTGAAAAAACAGCAAGGAAAATAGAACACACTGCAGAAAATAGAACAGAAAATTGCATCATATAGCCACCAAAGTTCAGAGTAGTCCTTATGGCAAAAGGTAATTGAAGAAAGGAAGCTTCACTCATCCTAGTTAAGCAGCAAACAGGAAATTACAATGTTGTCATGATAAGACCTTCTCATCTTGTATAATTCAATTGTAATTTTTGCAAGTTTCATAGAAGGAAAATAGATCTCACTCGGAAGTGTTGTCATTTTAAGGGATGGCAAACATGTAAAGATAAGCATATAGCAAACAAATATTAAGCACACCTTAGGCAGAGATGGATAGACTGGCATGCTATAGGAATAAGCGGAGGAGACACCAGTCCTGCTCATTTAGAAGAATATGATAGCATTAATGAACAGGAACATGTATTAGGGGAGATTTTTTTTGTCTTGAAAAGAGACATATCAAGTCTACTATACCAAGCATATGAGAAGGCAAAGATTTAATGCCAACGGGTGAACTGCATAGAAGGGTAAAATGAAGATAAAAAAATCAGCCTATCATTTACCTTCTTTGCTGCAATCTTTGTGTACATTATTGTCAGGAACTCTTGATGTGGTGTATATATAATAACAATAACAAATATTAGAATTCTAAATCATGCATTATTTCAACCAAGGCCCCAATAATCTTGTAACTCCACTAAAAATTGGAGCAAAGACCTGACATGGAAAAAGAAATCAAGCTTACCCTTCAATGTAGATGGAGTTTGATTCGACGCTGCAATCAAAGGGTGAGCCGGCGTTAGAAATCATTGTTGAAAAAGATGATGCTGTAAGCAATGGTGGTGCCTGGAGGACAACAATTGATGCCTGCTTACCTATACTTGACCTCATTGACACACAGAGGTCTATTCCATATGGCATTCAGCAAGTGAGGGAACTTATTGGCATCTCATGTGCCTTCAAGCAAGTGTTGTATAATACTTAAGTTGGAGAGCAAAATATTCAGAAAGGCAGCTCATGGGAAAATGGCACAACAATGAACTCAAGTTGGGAACAAAATGCTAGTGCTGCGAATGATTCTGGTGACTGGGGAGGCTGGGGTAGTGGAGTTGGAGCTGCTGCAAAGCCAGCAGATCAAGATAATTCATGGGAAGTGTATGCTAAGGTGTCGAACAATTCCACTGATTGGGGAGGTTGGAGTAGTGGAGGTGGAGCGACTGCAAAGCCAGCAGATCAAGATAATTCATGGGAAGTGCATGCTAAGGTGCGGGACAATTCCACTGATTGGGGAGCCTTTGCTTGGAATCCTAGGGTAATCAGGCTGCAACACCAGTGGGCAATTCAGATGCCACCAACTCAAGATAGTGTCTGATAGCAACTACCAACTCAAGATAGAGCTATTCACTTAAATCATTTGGGTCATCTCATATTGGCAAATTCCCTGAATGCCTAGTATGTATGGCTGGGTTCACCAATACCATCTTTGTTGACTACAATCACATAGTGTGATCTATCTGTTGCCTATAGATTGTTGACTACAAAAATAATTTAATATTGCACCTAGTAGGCACTTAAAATAGAGAAGACAAAACAGCATGAACATCAACTAAGAGCAAAAATAAAGTGCACAGAGTAATCTTACATGTCACTTTCATCTTCCTTAAGCATAACAGGGTATGTCTGTTTTTTTTATCTGGCATACAAAAAAATAAGGACTAACATCAAGGCAGGTGCTATCTCTGCATACCATGAATGTAAATTAATAACATCAATTAAACCAGATAGATATTGCACTATAATCAGGTTAAAGGAACTAGACAAAACTGTAATAAGGAAAGAACTATATGACAATGACCGAACTAAGACTAAGTTCATTCAATCAAAGAACAGAGATTAACTCTCAAGTCACAAGCCAGTTTGATTTACACACAATGCCATCTAATGAGAAACAACAAGGATTATCCTCTGACCAATGAGTTCATCATTTCCTAAGTTACAGAAATTATTTCACACGAACCATAGACAAAGCGGTGACATGCTTAAGCAAGTTGCTTACCTACTCCTTTCGACAAAAGTATTCCAAGTTTGGCTCTAATGCTTCCAATGCTACACAAAGATGAAAGCGTATGGGGCTTCATAGTCATAGGATTGCAATGAAGTGTACAAAATTATAGGCACAATACATTATCTTTTACACTTTCAGGAGTAGAGGACCTAAGTACATTACCTTCCAACATGTATTAGTCAAATACTGAAAATAGGATAGTACAGATTTTTCAACATGTATTGCTCTGGTAAAAAAATCAATACTAGTTATATTAACAAAATTCAATCCACATCCTACAGCATACACATGGGATTAGATTAGATCTGCTCGAATACACATAACCAAATGGCTAGGGAAGAAGGTAGGGAGGGGGGAGGGAGGGGGCGGCACCGACCACCGGATCTCGCCGGTGGGGAGTGGGAGGGAGGGCCACGCTGGGAACGCGAAGAAGGGAGGGAGGGGCCGCGGGAAGAAGAAGGTAGGGAGGGGTTAGAGGGAGGGGGTGGCACGGCCGCCCGGATCTCGCCGGTGGGGAGCGGGAGGGAGGAGGGTCGCGTCGGGGAACGTCGGCCACGCCGGATCTTGGGAAGAAGAAGGGAGGGGAGGGAGGGAGGCGGCACCGGGCCACTGAGGAAGAAGGGGAGTGAGGGGAGGGGCGGGATCCGGCGGAGGATGGGCGGGTGCGGGAGTGCGGGAGGGGGGGGAGTGTGGGGGCTGGGGAGGAGGGAGGTGCGGCGGGGAAGAAGAAGGGAGGAGGGGGCGTGCGTGCGTGAGGAGCAGCCAGGCGAGTCCATGGTGGGTTAGGGTTAGGACTTCTTGGTTTTTTCCGTGCGTGTGTACGTTTTTTTTGTGCGTTTTAAAATAACCGACAGAATAATAATATTTTTTCTGTGCGTGTATATATTTTTTCTGTGCGTTTTTAAAGAACCGATAGAATAAGTTTCATTTTTCCGTGGGTGCTGATTTTTTCCATGTGTGTATTGTCACGCACAGAAAAATCATACAATTATTCTGTGAGTTTTCGTATTTTTCTATCGGGATATTTTGAAACCCACATAATTTTTGTGTGCGTACCAAAAAACGCACAGAAAAATTCGTCACCCAGAACAATTCGAGTTTCCAGTAGTGCATGTCACCATCTACCTATAATATGTTTTTGTTTGAACCTCTAATAATAATTTTCAGTAGGGACTAAGGTCCCTCCTGTTCCTTCAAAAAAAACGATGTGGGTCTGAAGAGGTTGCTTGATCAGAAAGTTAATTCTTTTAGACAAAAGTAAAGTTTCTCTGGATTTGATATTGACATGGTCGATACCTCTACCGCATGACCGGGACAAATCAAAGCCGTGTCTGTATCATCACAATTTTTCAAGAATTTCTAGATCATTTAAGTACCTTTGTAGCTCACAGCACAAAGTCAAAAAGAGACCTGATGATCATATGGATTATGTTATCACTAAGCCTGGATGCACTGTGTTCTCCGTATATGGATTACTACGTATTATGTAAAGCCTGTTACAGCATGGTCAAAATGTTAATTGAATGTGAATCCATGCCAAAAAAATGCTTTTGCACTAACGGTTGATGCAAGTACAGGTTATATTAGCCTGCCTAACCACAACAAACATGAAGAAATCGATGGGAAAAATACACAAATAATGCTAGCCTTGACTGTTCTATAGATCAGGTCATCAGGAACAGGATATATACCATCCACACTGCATCTCCTCAGAAACAACGCTGAGAAGAAAGAAACCAAAGTCAACTTCAGACAATTTCAAAACAATAATAAACCTGTCCAGATAAACCATCAATTTTTGTAGCAAGTGGTTACACCCCTATCCTAAGTCAGATCAGGAAAGCAATCCGGTGAATTTTGGGTGATGAAGCAAATCTTTGGAATACATGACAATGTTTGAATCGTCTAGAGTTATCAAAAAATGAGGAACGCAAGAATAGAAATTTCATTCTTCTGATGTGTTGACGCAGTAGTTTTATCTTGACAAAATAGATGCAGTAATTCGGTACTGCATGCTGCATTAATTAGCAATTGTAGAATAAAAGATTATGAAGCCAAATCAAACATGGGCATAGTTTTGTGGGATATGATTTTATTAAATAATTAAAAAAATATGCCAGATATTTAATTTAGGCCGTGCTTGTAGTTTTTAATTGGTTATTATGTTGTTATTAATTAATTCATGCTAAACAAACCGACATACAAGACTCTTGAATCCATTCCCAAGCTAAATATTGCTGAATTTTCGTTCTGCCATTTGTGACGAAAATGGCACCTACCTAGGGCCATTAAGTGATTTTGGTGATTGGGTAGTAACAACATGGTCATTGAGATTAATGTTACTAAGTGATTCCCCGTGCGTTGCTACGGAAATTCCTAAAGAACACATGTTGGTTTGTATTTGAAATGCAAGAAATAGAGACCAGTATTGCTTAATTGTGTAAATCATAGTTTGGATGTAATAATCACACTATGTTGCTGCAGAAATTTAAGGAATGATTTAGACAAAAGTTAAAGAATCGGCTTATTTGGTTAAAGAACATGTAGTACTATGTGTTGCCAAAACTAAAATTGCATTGGAAGAAATGCATAGAAGTGTTTTTTTTAGTGAAATGCATAGAAGTGTTTTTGCTTTAAAAATGCAAATAGCTGTCATATCCTCTGCTCTGGCTTGGTTTGGCTCTCTCCCGGATGCTTGTAGTACCTGGGCGACTAAAGTGTTGTGCAGCGTTATCCTACTTTTTTAAAGAAGCAATTTGGCATGTAGTTGCAGTAGAAAATAATCAACTTATTTGATTAGAGAGCACGTAGTAATGTGTTGCCAAAATTGAATTTGCCAAAGTAGGAAGGAATACAGGAGTGCTGTCAAATAGCTTTAAAAAAGTGCTGCCAAATTACGATGTAAGTATACTCAGCCGGACACATCATGCGCATGCGCATACCACAGGTGGTACACATATAATGCATATGCGCACACCATGGTGATATAACTCCAGTTGCTCACAGATCGGGGCAGATGGTGATCAAAGGGAATCGGTTGTTTGCTGCTAGAAGATGAGAAGACAGTCGCACTACCAATGCCAGTGCTTCCGTCGACGTCGGATCGCCACGGCCACGCACATAGGGATGGCCGGACAGTCTTGGTTGGAGAGTGAGGAGATGATCGAACCCGGCGTTGTTGGTGCATCCATGCCCATCTCGGATGCATGCAACAGCCGCTTGGTGCACTGCTAGCTTGCATTTGCTGAAGGTATAGAAACATATCAGCAAGATATAGACACAGATGAATGTAAACAATCAAGGTACACCCTGCTTATTACCTGAACGAAATAATCGGAAGGATGGATCAGAAGCTACATGATTTGGAGGATGGATCGGAAGCTATGATGCCCAAGCCCAAGGAAGCATCGCTATCGCGTCTGGACAATATATATAGGGTACCTATTAATATGATAGTGCTGGTACACGAAGAGGAAACGGCAGGGATTACGATGATTCCTGTTATCATGTACGACGTTGATTGCTTGGCTATGAGGCTAGTGGAAGACATGACGTATTAGTGGAGCTGTGGAGAGCAGTTTCAAGCCGATACAACTGGAACGAGGTTCTTTGCCGAGGGCCGGATAAGCTCGGCAAAGAAGCCTTTGCCCTCGGCAAAGGCTTTGCCGAGAGTTGCTCTCGGCAAAGGCCGGTCGGCACAGTACCTCACGGCAAAGGTTACTTTGCCGAGAGCCGCATCTCGGGCTCTTGGCAAAGGATTTGCCGAGGGTTAGCCGGCCGTCGGCAAAAATTTTCGCCGTGATGGCGAGAGGTCACGGTAAAATTGATCTTTGCCGAGAGCCTTAGCAAGCTCTCGACAAAGAATTTCTGAATTTTTTTTCCAAAAAACTTTGCCGAGCGTCTGTCAGAAGAGCTCTCGGCAAAGAATATTGACAATTTTTTTAGACAATTTTTTGCCGAGCGCTATGGTCATGCGCTCGGCAAAGCTGGGATTCTGTGTGTTCCAGAATTCCCAGCTTTGCCGAGGGCATGACCATAGCCCTCGACAAAGCCACGGCCAGTTTTTTTTTTTGTTTTTTGCATTTCCAGTCAACAAATAAACATATATATGAGATATATATGACATCCACATCACAATAAGCACATCCACATATCAATAACCACATCCACATCACATAATTCACATCCACATCACATAGAAGTCTCGAAGTTCGAAGTCACAAACAAATCTCGACACATAGACAACCACAAGTGTAAAGTTCGACAAGCAACATAAACAAGAGGCATAGGAGGCACCAAACTGGTCA